CGAGTCTCGGTAACGTTTTCGGATTCTTTCAAATCAATGGACTCTACAGAAGTACCCATGTCATACCACACCGTAGTTGCGGAAATCTGGTCTCCAGTTGCTCCAATTTGACCTTCCTCCGTACTCGACGGAACCTCATCCTCCTCCTGGTTCTCTTCGGTTGATTGCCCTGAAGCTGTCGGTGTAGGTTGCATCGAACTCACGACCGGGGTAGATGCCGGAGCTTCGTCAGCGTTTTCGGACACTGGCAAATCAGTGGGCTTCGCCAAAGTTCCGAGGTCGTCTGACATCTCTTCCGGAATTTTGGAAATTTGATCTGCTGCCTCAGTTTGGCCACCCTCGGTTTTTGGCATAACGTCATCCGACTTTAGATTCTCTTCTGTTGATTGCCTTAAAGCTATCAACGTAGCTGGCATTGCACTCACCACTGGGGTAGACGCCGGAGCTTCGTCAGCGTTTTCGGACACTGGCAAGTCAGTGGGCTTCCCCGAAGTTCCCAGGTCATCCGACATCTCTACCGGAACTGTGAAAGTGTGATCTGCTGCCTCAATTTGAGCCTCTTCGGTACTCGGCGTAATGTCATCCGACTTTGGGCTCTCTTCTGTCGATTGCCTTGAGATTATCGGCGTAGTTAGCATCGGACTCCCCACCGGGATGGACGGCTGGGTCTCTCCAAAGCTCTCGGTCACTGGCAAGACATAGGGTTGTTTTACCGATTCTGTATCTTTGTTTGACTGGTTCAGATCTGGAGATAGGCCGTTGGTTACTGTTGTTGAGTTAACCTCTTCATTCGTAGGTTTGATTACCTGTTGTGTGGATTCCGCTCCGTCTTCTTTTCCGTTCACTGTTGCTGCTGGAGTATTAGTAGTGTCTTTGATTCCATTTTCATTGCCCTCTTCTTGGACTTTTCCCGCTTCTTCTTCGTTTTCCTTCTCTTCTTTTTCCTTTTCTTCCTCTTTTGCTATTTCTTCTTTTTCTTTTTGTTTCTTTTCTTTTTCTTCTTCTTCGTCGTCGTCATTCCCATCGTCATCGTCATCCTTGTCTTCATCTTTTTTCCCGTCCTTTTCTTTTTCTTCTTTTTCCTTTTTTTCCTTCTTTTCTTTTTCCTTCCCTTTTTCTTTCTTTTCTTTTTCTTTTTGTTTCTTTTCTTTTCTTTCTTCTTCGTCGTCTTCTGTATCGTCATCATCCTTGTCGTCATCTTCATCCTCTTCTTCGTCCTCTTTATCGTCTTCGTCATCGTCATCTTCTTTATCTTCTTCTTCGTCATCTTCATCAGTCAACCATTCAAACATTTCCCCTTGACTCCTTTGCTTCCTGGCTTCCTGAAGCATTGTCTTTGTGCTGGTTACTTTACTTCTGTTCGCATTTGAAGATACATCCGACATGAGTAGTGCCTTTTCTAAAGTTGTAGTGGTCCCCTGAGCGCTATTAGTTTGAGCATTGTCCATTGGCTCCACCGAGAGACCAGTGACTAGCACTCGAGCATCCAGTGGTTCTTGTGACGTGGTTTGTTTTTCCAACTTTGCCAGACTCGAATTTTCATTTCGCTCCTCACTTGCGACTGTCACCAGCGTACTCTCCTTCGTTTCTTGAGAAAACCTGGGGAAAAAAGGACACACCGATGTCTGTTAGGTTTCGATCGTCGGTAAGGCTTCCTTGTAAGCACCAACACAGTAAATATGGGACCGGGGATAATAGAGGTGATAGGGGTGGGGCATATCAGTGGAAAGAAAATGAAAAAAATAAAGAATAGAAATTTGGTAACTAGTAGGCACAGTTATCTAAATAATCTAATTTAAAAACAGGCGATAATTAAAATACAAACAAAAGCTCTGTATAAGCACATTGAAGAAAATTGAATAAGCCGACGAGATAGAAATAAGAGCGAATCAGAAGAAAATGGGAAGTTCAACCAATAGAAAACAAGAACTTGGCCGATAATAGCCGCTAATTGGCCGCAGTTTGTTGACTGCTAATCGGATGTCAATTTTATGTCGACTTTGTCAGATAGACGTAAAACCATGACACAGGCATTTTCCCGTTAATTTGAAACCCGTAATTACTTATAATGCCTTTGGATAGATATTGTAATACTATTAGCTAAAGAGCAACCGCATGCCGCTGAATATTTCCGTGTGACGTATGCCGAAGTTTATCAAAATAGGTAGCCAAAAGGACTAACCAAAGTTGGACAGGTATTGCAGTACGATAAGCCGAAAGGTAACCACTTATCGCTTAAGATTCCCGTCTAGGAATTGCAGCGGAGTGTTAAATGCTGAACACGTGCACAAGAAAAGCGGTAGAAACGTCATGTGCGAAAAACACTGCAATCTACGACAATATGAACTAATAAAACAAAAATATGTCTACTATAACGAAATGAGTAGTCACTTTTGTATATTAAAGTACGCTGCCCTTACCCGATCATCTTTTTCGGAAATATTTGCCTGTTCATGTTAACTACTGCAATGTTCGATGTGCTTGGGCAGGACTAGTCGACCTTGAGAGTGCGCCCGAAGGCAGTACGGGACGGGTGAGCCTTGTAGCCGATCGGTGGGGCGTCCAGTACAGTCCGGAAAGTGCAAATAACTTTGACACCCATCCATACCCCGGTCAAAAGCCAGGGCATTTGCCAGTCTAGATATGTCTGACGAGATGACAACAAGCGTCGGTCAGCCGGTCTGGAAATACGTTAATGCCTAAACAGACACACACCAGCTGCGTCATATCCATACACCGGTGGATGATTCATGTGAGTGTAACAGCTACTTGGCCACGACGCGTCGCCCATCCCACCTTCCCGATCGATAACTCTGAATCAAGGGCGAGGGAGGGGCTGGTGTGCACGCAGCGCGAGACTGACGCATGACGTGTTGGGACCAGACAAATCGCTCCACCAACTAAGAACGGCCATGCACCACCAACCACCA